TAATGTAGTAATGGAATAGCCCTTAGGAAGGGGTAAATTTCTGGTCACTGAAGGTATTTAAGCTGAGATTGGATGGCTCCCTGCCAAGAGATAGTATAAAATGCATTTCTTCACTGGATTCATTCACTCACTCGCTTTTGATTGAGTCCTTCCTATGTGCCAGGCACTGTGCCCAGTGCTCAGGAGACAAAGATCAATACAGTGGGTAAGAGGCTGGATTAAATGATTTAAAAAATCCCATTATGGCTGTGGCTGAAAGAAATCGCTTGATGTGTCAGTTTCTTTTGTGTGGAGCTCTGATTTGTGGTTACTCTGTGTCAAACACTCCAGAGTGTTACTATTCTATTTCTTTTGTGACGTCAAATAATGCTTCTTATCACTCTCTAAGAGATTGTAGGCTGTTAACTTACATATGTGACAATATTTTATTTTCCTGCCTTTGAACATAGAGGTTAAAGTTGAATGTAGAGTCAGCTTTTGATGGAATAATGTTGATTTTTCATGGCAAATGTTTAATTCCATGCTGACTTGCATAAGGTTTTAAAGATTCAAGATTTATCAGAAAGTATAGTGAGAGAACACAATGCTTATTAAATGTAAGGTGATATTACATATTAATGTTGTTGGAAGTTCATTGTACTTAAAACATATATGGAAAAGTCAGGTTCTAAAGTTACTCTTATTTTTTCTGAGAAGAGTTATAGTTTGTGTATACTGAGATATTAAATCTCCAACTTCAATATTTATAGATTGCCTACATATCTGGGCTGATTCTATTCCTGCTTGTAGAGATCAGATAGTACCAGGAGAAGCAGAGGTGCCAAGAACAAAGTGTGCAGATTTGGAAGTGATATTGGGGTCTCCGTACATTTTGGCCCATCAAGTAAGGCCAGCTGTTCATTTGTTTCATGTCTAGGTTTGGAATTCACCCAGTTGCAGGCCGGATGCCTGGTCAGCTTAATGTGCTGCTGGCTGAGGCAGGGGTGCCATATGATATTGTGCTGGAAATGGACGAGATTAACGAGGATTTCCCAGGTAAGTCATGGGTGCGATCGTGAAATTTAAATATTCGCAGTGTGAATAAAGCAATGTCAGTCCTAAGACATAAATTGTGGGATCATTGAAGACCTACAGTCAGATGAATAGTAACCTGTTCCTAGTAGGTACAAGTTGAAATTAAATAAATGAAACACAGTACTGAATTGAGGGGCCCCAGATTTGTAAGCAGCGCGAGTAATTTTGTTCCTATGAGGAGAGCTGAGGGAGGCAGTGCTGGGAGGCAGTGCAGTGGAGTGCATTGCCAAGGGGCTCTGAACATATCTGTCTTTAGAATCTAGGTCCTGACTCTGACTTGCCTGTGACCTTGAACCAGGTACTCAACGTTAGGTTCCTCATTTATAATATTGCTTCTTTTGATTATTTAGCGTCTGATTCTTGCAGCGTTTACTGTTTTCCAGTTGTATCAATTCATGGTCAGTAGAGTAGTTTTCTGTTTTCTTAAAGTACTAGGACTTCACTAGGTAAGGTGCTGTACTTTTTGTCATTGGGTAGATGTTGAATTCTAATGACATTTGGCCCAAGATCATGTTTGTTATAATTAAACCAGTTTCCTCTGGCAAGTATGTGCTGTCAACGTAAAAATACTGTTTATTAGAGAAAAATAATGAGCTTGTGTGTATTTCTAGATTCACATTGGCATTTTTGGTAAAGTTCTCATGTAATTTATATTATAGTCTTTAAAGAGGGAATTTTAGCCTTTTTAATTTTATGTCCTCTTTCAAATTTCACTGCTGCTAAATTATGTGTGAAACCTGCCAGTTCCTGGAATTATGGACACCATTTTAATACAGCACAGACTCTTAGACCATTTTCTTTTAGATATCAAATTGCATTTTTAGTGGTCATTTTAGAAGTTGAAAATGGAATGCAGATATTATAAAATAATGTAACTGGCAAGATCATGTTGGGATAATAAAAAACTATAAAATCACATTAGGTAGATCCACTGTGGGGAGGTAGAGCGTAATAATGCAGGCTCCGTCAGGATGCACAGGCTCAGATGCAGGAACTATTGCTTTTTAGCTGTGTGACATTAGCTAAACTATGGAACCTCTCTGATAAAGCTCTTTGTATAGTGCCTGGCATAAGTGTGGGTCCTATAAATATTAGGTTTTGTTATTATTGTTATAAAGTCAGATCACTCTAATTTGCCTCAAAAGAAGTGAAAGTGACTCCTTTGAGTTTTATATTTTCCCTTTTTTCCCCCTTTATTATCCAGAGACTGATTTGGTCCTTGTAATTGGAGCTAATGACACTGTTAATTCAGCTGCTCAAGAAGACCCCAACTCTATTATTGCAGGCATGCCAGTTCTCGAGGTCTGGAAATCAAAGCAGGTAAAGTTTCAGACTTGTGTTTCATTCCAGTAATCAGAGGTTTCTTAAAATACACATATAGCACTTTCCTTGGTCACTTGATGAGAAACGACAATTTTTTAGGAGGCCCAGGAGCTAGAGTATGGTTAGGGTCCAGTTCTCTGTAGGCAGCTTCTGTCTGTTCTGTGGTCACCAGAGAATCTGAATGAGTGCCCTGATCATGAGTAGAACTAGATGGGATTATGTGGATGGATTAACAAAATCTGTAACCACAGCTGAACAAAGAGCTGTGAGCTTTTGGAATGAGTCTGGCTGAATTCCAGGTCAAGTCCAGTGAAGCAGATGGCTTCTCTCTGGGACAGTGAGTCAGTACCGTCGCCTTCGTATATGAAGACGAGCACATTTTTTCATTTAATTTTTTTGAAAGGGAATTTGTATGTTGTGATGGGGTGTCTAGAAGGAAGGTGATTTGGAAATCCAAACAACAACATGGCATAAGGAAGCAAGCTCTGCGCATGCACATTACGTTTGAAAAAGCTAATTGCTAGATTGTACAGAACTCAGAGGTTCGCCCATTTTCCTTCACCCAGGCAGTGGGCTCCTCTCTTTACCACTCCTTAGTCATATCTGCATTTTAAGAACCATAATCACATAATGCACATTTCTCTTTTAATTTTGTTTCTCTTTATTCTAAATATGTGGGTTTCAAATTAGTATTTGTGATGATTGAGTAGATATACCATGCATTTGTTCGTGTGTATATGAACCAATACTGTACTGGTCATTAATATTTGAGAGTTTGTAGAGTGCATTATTGTACCAATGCTATTTGAAGCATGCACGTATTTGTACTGCTTCCATTTTGGGATCGAGTACATGTCCTAGAAAACCATAGGAAGGCTTTTCATTTCTGTAAAAACTGACTTGATACTCAACAGGAGAGAAACATCCATAGCCTGTGTAATTGTATATGTCTCTGCCACATTAGTACTAGAGATGGATTTACTGCTTTCATTTTGCTCTGTTAGGAACATAGTATTAGTTATCAGTGCTCTCCTTGTGACAAGCTAGATTGTTCTTGGGCTTTTGTGTTAGAACTTTATAATCTATTTGAGCTTAAAGGGATGGAATAGGAACCCTACCATTTTCCCACTCAACTACATTCATCTTAGGATTTGTCATAGCAGCTTTTACACTGTGTTTGTTCTCTTTAGCATATTCATAAGATGCTTATTTTTCTGACTAGAAAATGTTATACATAGCCTTATAGAGAAAAGCACTAAGAAGAAAATCACTTATAATCTTATCACTCAGATAAACTATGGTTAACATGACTTTTTTTTCTCATTGGTATAAGTATGGGCACATTTTAAAAATTAAAGTTAATGCAATGTAAACATGCATTTAAAAATACTCCTTGTATATTTTAAAAGTCTTAGTAGTGGTACATGCCTTGTTCAGAGTTAGGGCAGGACAATGTTTGTGTGCCTAAGACATCCTAGCAAGATCTGTTAAATACACTCTCTCACTGACTTTTGGTTTGTAGGTCATTGTTATGAAGAGGTCCTTGGGTGTTGGCTATGCTGCAGTGGACAATCCAATCTTCTACAAACCTAACACGGCCATGCTTCTAGGTGATGCGAAGAAGACATGTGATGCACTGCAGGCAAAAGTTAGAGAATCCTACCAGAAATAAATTTTAAAGATGAAGGTGTTATCTAACAGAGCCACCTCTTCAGTTATGGGAACAGGCAAATAAAGTATAAACATGTACAGCTTATATACATCCGTAACAAAGCTCTTGGAAGAAGAGGAAGACTCTGAAGAAAGCAAAGGAAATACAGGGAGATTTTTCAAGAGCAGTGATCCTTCAATTTTAAAAAAGGATTGAGCATTCTAAATGTCTTTCTGTGCATATCTTTTGTGTAATGAATTAAAAGTATTTTATAAAAGGAGAAAGAACAGCCTCATTTTAGATATATTCCATTTGGATTTTTAAAAATTCCTCCTCGTTAGCCAGTAATGTTTTAAAAAATTAAGTCTTTAGGATTTTAAGACTGACACTATACATGGACCTGAAAAATCGGACATTACAGGCACCTGCATTTATGTTTTTTCAGCAAATGTGACTAATTTGAAACTTTTATCAACCCCTGAGCTGTTCTCTTACCATTTAACCATGATCAAAATCAGTCATATCAAATTGGTTTTAATTTTTCAAGCTGTACTTTTCAATTCTAGATTTCAGGGGTGTATTTTTCTCACTTCTATTTTAATACATTAAAGGATGAGATAACCTTCCAGAGATGCTGGAAACAGTTAAATCTTTTGCTTTGTATGTTTCATTAGGACACCAGTGAAACATAATTTGAAATAAGTATTCGCTGTATTTTTTAAAACCCTGTTTCTAATTGGAGATCTGTTTAATTGCAGTCAATTTATAATGTGTAGTACTGTACTAAGTGCACTTGAATGGAATTCAACTATTTGCCTAATAAAATGAGTTCATTATGTTTGCACAGTGATGTAGCAATTGTCTCTGGCGACAAAAGGCTAAAATTGAATAGTTCTGCCTGTTATTAACATCTGGGGAAGACTTGCTACTATAAAATAGATGAAATTAATCTGTCTTAATTGTTTGCAAGATTTTCTTTTTCCAAATCAGAGTGTGCTTTGAGGTAATCTTATGTAATTGGTCTCATTTGGGAGAAATTGTGGCACTTCTAAAAAAAGAACTTTTATTGAAATTATTGGGGTGACATTGGTTAGTAAAATTATATAGATTTCATGTGTATATGTCTATAATACATCATCTGTATATTGCATTGTGTGTTCACCACCCAGATTGAATCCTCCTTCCGTCACTGTGTACTTGACCCCCTTTTCCACCACCTCCCTCCCTCCTTACCCTCTGGTAACCACTAAACTGTTGTCCGTGTCTATGAGTTTTTGCTTGTTTGTCTTGTTTGTTTGCTTTCAGTTTTATGTACCATATATGAGTGAAATCATATGGTTCTCGACTTTTTCAGTCTGACTTATTTTGCTTAGCATGATAACCTAAAGATTCAACCATGTCATTGCAAATGGCAGTATTTCATCTTTTTTTATGGCTGAGTAATATTTTATTTTATATACATACCATACCTTCTTTATCCAATCGTCTGTTGAAGGACACTTTGGTTGTTTCCATGTCTTGGCCCACTGTGAATAATGCTGCAATGAAAATAGGGATGCATATATCTTTACGGATAAATGTTTTCAGATTTTTGGGGTAGATATCCACAAGAGGGATTACTGGGTCATATAGTAATTCTACCCTTAATTTTTTGAGGAAGGTCCATACTGTTTTGCACAGTGGCTGTACCAATTTACATTCCCACCAGCAATGTATGAGGTTTCCTTTTTCTCCACAGCCTCTCCAAAACTTTTTATTACTTGTCTTATTGATAATAGCCATTCTAACAGGTGTGAGGTGGTATCTTATTGTGGCTTTGATTTGTATTTCTTTAATAGCTCGTTAAGTTGAACATTTTTTCATATATCTTTTGGCTGTTTGTATGTCTTCTTGGGAGAAGTGAAGTGTTCAGGTCCTCTGCCCATTTTTTAATTGGATTGTTTTTGTTTGTTGTTGAGTTGTATGAGTTCTTTATATATTTTGGATATTAGCCCCTTATCAGAGCTTTTGTTTGCAAATATCTTCTCCCATTTAGTTGGTTGCCTCTTTGTTTCGTTGACTGTATCTTTTGCTGTGCAGAAGCATTTTAGTTTGATATAGTCCCATTCATTTATTTTTACTTTACTTCCCTTGCCTTTGAGGTAAAATTCATAAAATCCTTCCTGAACCCAAGGTCCATAAATTTAGTACCTATTCTTTCTTCTATGCAATTTATTGTTTCAGGTCTTATATGTAGGTCTTTGATCCATTTTGAGTTAAGTTTGGTATCTGGTGACAGATAGCAGTGTAGTTTCATTCTTTTGCTTGTGGCTTTCCAATTTTCCTGGCACCATTTATTGAAGAAGCTTTCTTTTTCCCATTGTATATTTTTGGCTCCATTGTTGAAAATTACCTGCCCATATATATGTGGATTTATTTCTGTGTTCTCAGTTCTATTTCTTTGGCCTGTGTGTGTTTTTCTGCCAATACCATGCTGTTTTGATTATTGTGGCTTTTTAGTATAATTTGAAGTCAAGAGTGATTATTTCTGGCCTTGTTCTTTTTTCTTAGGATTGTTTGGGCTATTCAGTATTTTTGTGGTTCCATGCAAATCTTATGATTTTTTGTTCTATTTCTTTGAAAAATGCCATTGGGATTTTGATGGGGATTGCATTAAATCTGTATGTTGCTTTGGGTAATATGACCATTTTAGCTATGTTGATTCTTCTAATCCATGAACATGGACTATCTTTCCATTTCTTTGTGTCTTCCTCAATTTCTTTTAATAATGTCTTATAGTTTTCAGTGTATAGGTTCTTCACATCCTTTGTTAAATTTATTCCTAGGTATTTTATTCCCTGTGTTGCAATTGTAAAATGAAATTTTTTTTCATTTCTTTTTATGATATTTCATAGTTAGTATATAGGAATGCAATGGATTTTTGTGTATTGATTTTGTATTCTGCAACTTTACTGTATTTGTTTATCATTTCTAATAGTTTTTTGGTGGATACTTTAGGGTTTTCTATAGAAAGAATTATGTCATCTGCAGAAAGTGACAATTTGACTTCTTCATTCTCAATTTTGATGCCTTTTCTTTCTTTTTCTTGCCTTATTGCTCTGGCTAGGACTTCCAGTACTGTGTTAAATAACAGTGGTGAGAGGGGCGTCATTGTCTTGTTTGTAATTGTAGAGGGAAAGCTTTCAGTTTTTCATCATTGAGTATATTAGCTGAGGGTTTGTCATGTATGGCTTTATTATGTTGAGGCACATTCTTTCTATACCCATTTTATTAAGTGTTTCGATCATAAATTGATGTATCTTGTCAAATGCTTTCTCTGCATCTATTGATATGATCATATGAGTTTTATTTTTAATTTCTTTATGTGGTATATCGCATTGATCGATTTGCATATGTTGAACCATTGTGTGCTTCTGCAATGAACCCCACTTGATCATTATGTATAGTCTTTTTAATGTATTGTTGTATTTGATTTGCTAGAATTTTGTTTAGGATTTTTGCATCTATAGTCATTTGTAGCTTTCTTTTCTTGTGTTATCTTTACCAGGTTTTGGTATCAGGGTAATGTTGGCCTCATAAAATGAGTTAGGAAGTATTTCCTCTTTTTCTAATTTTTGGAAGAGTTTGAGGAGGACAGGTATTAAATAATCTTTGAATGTTTGGTAGAATTCAGTAGTGACACCATCTGGTCCTAGACTTTTGCTTTTGAGTTTTGGATGATCATTTCAATTTCCTTACTGTAAATTGGTTTATTTAGATTTTCCAGTTCTTCATGATTCAGGTTGGGAATATTAGGTTGTCAGAAATGTCATGACATATTTTTTCTATGTTTTTCATTGCAAAAATGCATCCTGACTTTTCCGACAACCCAATATATTTCTAAGAACTTGTTCATTTTTTCTAGATTATTGAATTTGGTGTCATATAGTCCTTCATAGTATTCTTGTGTGATCCTTTGTATTTTTTTGTGGTATCTGTCGTAACTTCTCTTTCATTTCTGATTTTGTTTATTTGTGTCTCTCTTTTTTTCTTAGTGAGTCTAATCAGGGAGTTGTCAATTTTAGTAATTTTTTCAAAGAATCAGTTTTTTTATTGTGTTGACTTTTTTTCTATTGTCTTTTTCTCTATTTCATTTAATTCTCTAATTTTTATTATTATCTTTGCTGGTTTTGGGTTTCATTTGTTTCTGTTTTTCTAGTTCTTTCAGATGTAATGTTATGTTGTTTATTTGGGATTTTTGTTGTTTCTTGAGATAGGTCTGGAATGATATAAACTTCTCTCTTATTACTGCTTTTGTAACATCCCAATAATTTTGAGACATACTTTTATTCTCATTTGTTGCTATGTATCTTTTGATCTCTATTTTTATTTCTTCTTTGACCCAGTTGTTCTTTAGTAGCATGTTGTTTGATCTTCACATATTTCTGGTTTTTCCCATTTTATTTTTGCAGTTGATCTGCAATTTCAAAATATTGTAGTTGGAAAATATGGTTGGTATGATTTCAATCTTTTTAAATTTGTTGAGGCTAGTTTTGTGAATCAACATATGGGCTATCCTTGAGAATAGTTTGTATGCACTAGAGTAGAATGTATAATCTGGTGTTCTGGGATGAAAGGCTCTCTAAATTAGTCGATTACATTCATTTGGTCTAATGGGTCATTTAAGGCTGATATTTCCTTATTTATTTTCTGTTTAGATGATGTATTCATAGCTGTCAATGATGTATTTAGGTCCCGAATTATAATTGTGTTTTTGTCAGTTTCTCCCATTAGTTCTGTTAGTAGTTGCTTTATATATTTTGGTGCTCTTTGATTGAGAGCATATACAGAGGGTGCCAAAAAAATGTATACACATTTTTATTTTTATTTATTTATTATTTTTTTATTGGGGAATTGGGGGGATGGGAACAGTGCTGGGGAATTGGGGGAAGGGGAACAGACAAGTTGTTGTCATTTTG